GACACGATCCAAACTGCATAGTAGTAGTACTACATGTAGCAGTAGATGGCACGTTCGTCTGTTGGAGTGGGTGTTGGATGCACATTTGCACATTGCGCAAGACAAGGCATGATGAACAACACCGGATCTAATCTAATCTAGCGATGGATGGAAGTGCAACACCCAAAAGAGGCTTTGGACTCTGACGGTTTGGGCTTAATTTGTTGTAGTAAGTTGGTCGGTGAGGCGGGAAAGATACATCCACATGTGCAGCATGCAGTGGTGGCACCAAGATTTAGCTATGAGCCAGGCAAGCCCCAAGCAGGCAACTTGCTATAATGTGAAACATTGTACTTCTTCCTACAGTGTACACAGAGGTTCAAGGCCACACCCCAGGTGGCAGCCCGGCCTGCCTGAGGCCTGGCATAGCCACCGTCAGCATGGATCCCTACAAGGCCACCAAATGAACGTAACCGCTGTTCAATCTCCGTGGCGTGCAAAGTTAGAGGGTTTGTGTCAGTTACATGATCTACATCGTACCATACGTGTCCAATCCAAGCCCATTCTTCTAAATGAGAATCGTAATGCAACGCGCCAATGCGTGATGCACATTCTTAGAGAGCGTCTCCAACAACAGCCTTTTTTTGGCTGCCCAAGAAAGACGACGAGGCAGGGCCTTCGTCATCACAGGGAAAGAAGAAGAATGTAGGAGGCTCCAGTGTGGTTGACGTCAAGAGCGATGACTGATGATATCGACTATGATAATCTGTAGTGTTTATTGAAGTGCTTATCATAGTTTAAGTTGGTAGTATAAACTGGCCTGTGGTTTTTGAACTATGTTTGTAGTTTGCATGTTTTACTTCGATCCAACTTTGTTCGAAATATGAAATTTGGTCGAAGTAATTCAAATGTTAGTTCATTTTTTTGATTTGATTCATCTGTGAGCCCTATTTTAGGGCTGCTGTTGGAGACGGCGCCTTCTCTTGCCCAAAAAGCGTGTTCTCGTGTCCAAACCTTTTAGCCACTAGCTTTTCGTGCCATAAATAGGGATGTGGTTGGAGATGCTCTTAAGGCGCGAGCGCAACTGAGCTACTCACCACTGTTGCGTGGGCATTTCCTATACAACGCCTTAAACGTCCGTTACTTCGGTTCTCGCAAACAGGGACAACCCCCACTGTGCTGGGCCGACACATTTTCCCGGTTTTCTCCTTTTCTGCTCCCCTGGAGCAAAGTCGCATGTGAAGTGATTCAAACTCGCGAACTCCTTTTTCTGTCTAAACTACACTAACCACCAGGGACAACTAACTTGTTGTGAGTACTTCTACTAACACTATAGATTAAACTAACTTGTTGTGAGCTTATATCCTTTTTCCTCTCTTCTTCTTTTTTCTTTAATTTTTTTCCTTTTTCTTCTTCTTCTTATTGTCAAAATGCATGATGAAACTGTTTTTCAAAATCAGGGAACTTTGTTTCAAGTTTGATGAAATTTTTTGATGTTCGATGAATTTTTAAAAAAATCAATGAATTTTTTCAAGTTTGATATTTATCCAAATTTGATGAACTATTTTTCAAATTTGGTGAACTTTGTTTTTTCAAAATTAACATTTTTAATTTTTATCTTTTTTCAAATTCGTGAACTTTTTTACAAAATCCACGACATTTTTGAATTCATGATTTTTTTAATTTTTATCCAAAAGTCAATAGCTTAACAGTCAGCTAGTTAACTACAACCGGTCAAACACAATTTAGCGACCAGGGATCCCAGTCGAGCACGTGTCTTCTTCTTTGACTGGCCCATGATCGAGGGTGCGTGAGTGCTAGGAACCTGTTCGGTCGCTTAGGGCGCCGAAACATAACCTTCCTGTCGTGTGAGCGTCTACCTTTTTCCCAGGGGAGTATGGCAGAGCTGCGCTGTAGCGCAACTCATTCTTTTGTTTAGGGAAATAGAGAACCCTAGTCTTAAAGTTGAAACGAAATGAATCCATGAGGGAGGATGGATCGATCCCAGGAACACCGCAAGAGCTATATACTCGCGGCCGGTCCATTTAACGCGTTTTCCAACTGGTTCGGTCGCTCGTTGTATTTTTTTCCATTTTTATTGTTTTAGTATTATTTTGTTTCTTCTTTCGGTATTCTTTGTTTTTCTGACTATTTTTTGTCTATTCTTCTGTTTACTTTGATTTTTTTATCAATTTTGTTTGTTTCTTTTCTATGTTTACCCTATGTTTGTTTCTTCCTCCTTTTCTATGATGTCTTTTTTGGTTTCTTTGTTTCTTTTCTCGGCTTTCACTGTTTTTTTCCTTCCTTCCTTCTTTCTTTGTTATTTGTTTTCTTCTTCCTGGTTTTTCTTTGTTTTCTCATTGGTTTTCACGGGTTTCTTTGGGGTTTTCATTTTTCTTTGTTTCTGAGGTGTTTCTTTTGTTTCTTCGGTGTCACCGCTTTTTCTTTATTTTTGTTACTACAACACATGTTTACAATTTTTCATACACATTTGTATATTTTATCTATGCATCAAGAACATTTTTTATATTTGTTTAACATTGTTCGAACACATGATTAACATTTAAAAAAATATGTTTGATGACTACTTTCCTCACTCACGTTGCACATTTTTCGGAATATATTACAAACATATTTTGAATTATGAACACTTTTTTAAAAATAGGAGAAATTTTGAAAAACACGAACATTTTTTGAAATCCTCTACTAGTTTCAAAAAAAATGATTTTTAGAACTTATGAACAAATTTTGAAAATAAGAACATTTTCGAAATTCTAAAACAATTAGGGAAAATGTGTTTTTTAAACAAGAACATCTTTTGAATTTGTGAATTTTTTGAAAACTCTGAACATCATGTACTCGGTTTTAGTTCTACTAAGCCTAAACCCTTTCGATTCCAAGGTTTGTCTTCATAGGAAGTTAGAGTTATGGAGACAAACCTTGGAATCGAAAGGGTTTAGGCTTAGTAGAACTAAAACCGAGTACATGATGTGCGGTTTCAGTACTACTAGGTGTGAGGAGGAGGTTAGCCTTGATGGCCAGGTGGTACCTCAGAAGGACACCTTTTGGTATTTGGGGTTAATGCCGCAGGAGGATGGGGGTATTGATGAAGATGTGAACCATTGAATCAAAGCCGGATGGATGAAGTGGCGCCAAGCTTCTGGCATTCTCTGTGACAAGAGAGTGCCACAAAAGCTAAAAGGCAAGTTCTACAGGACGGCGGTTCAACCTGCAATGTTGTATGGCGCTGAGTATTGGCCGACTAAAAGGCGACATGTTCAACAGTTAGGTGTGGCGGAGATGCGTATGTTGAGATGGATGTGTGGCCACACGAGGAAGGATCGAGTCCGGAATGATGATATACAAGATAGAGTTGGGGTAGCACCAATTGAAGAGAAGCTTGTCCAACATCGTCTGAGATGGTTTGGGCATATTCAGCGCAGGCCTCCAGAAGCTCCGGTGCATAGTGGACGGCTAAAACGTACGGAGAATGTCAAGACAGGGCGGGGTAGACCGAATTTGACATGGGAGGAGTCCGTTAAGAGAGACCTGAAGGATTGGAGTATCACCAAAGAGCTAGCTATGGACAGGGGTGCGTGGAAGCTTGCTATCCATGTGCCAGAGCCATGAGTTGGTTGCGAGATCTTATGGGTTTCACCTCTAGCCTACCCCAACTTGTTTGGGACTAAAGGATTTGTTGTTGTTGTTGTTGTCTGAAATATTTTAACAAACATGATAATATTGTTAAAACACAAACATTATTTAAATTTTCCAAATATGTTTCGGGAAACATGAACAAAATTTGAATTCATATTTTTTTTATAAAATCACCTACGTTTTTTAAAATTTATGATTTTTTTAGAAACGAACAAAAGAAAAAAGTAAACAGGGAAAGAAATGAAAATAAAAAAATGAAAAAATGAAAGAAAGCTAGAAAAATAAGTTATGAAACAAATAGAAAAAGGAAACCGGTTCAGGAACCGTCTAGGAGGTTTCCAGAACTGGCACTATGTGTATGATGTTACCGCGAAAATGGGCTGACTCATTTTGGCACTGCTTGCTCGTTGCTTATGCGATCTGCCGCAGAAGGCGGTGAATAGGGATTTCCGTACTTAGCTCCTCCTAGCTTCCCTAAAAAAATTCCTCCTAGTTTCTTTTCTCTCGAAAAAATAAATCAGACGGAAGCAGATGGAGAACCCTGTTGGATTGCTCGAATTTGGCGCCAACAATTTGTTACCAAATGTTCAACCATTAGTCACACGGTCGTACGGAGACCGTGGTTTAAACAACGGTACACGCTATGCTCTGGGGCTCTGATGTGACTATCTCTCCTCACGTTAATTCCAGTCACATACACTATTCCCCTCTCGTGTGGTGCTTTCTTGAGTTCCGCAGAGAAATTAAAGGAAGCGTGTTGAGAACACATAAACAATTTGAAATCGAACATTCATCCATGGTCCCCTCACCTCTCGGTACCAGAAAGGTTGTCGGACATGAAGGGAAAACCAATGAAACACCCGCGAAAAACTCTCTCGGCAACCAGGTAAGGTTTCAATTCGATCGGGATGAATCAGAATGACGCGATGGCAAACTGTCATGATCCGAA